ATATAAGACGCTTTTCTATGTCCTGGTAGAATTTGAATCGATTTCACCGTCTGTTTCCGAGTAATAAAACATTAAAGCTTATCCTTTTAGCAGGCGCTCCTACGGTGACTTGGTAGACCCGACCAGAAAGTTTTAAATTCTGAGAAAACTAGCAGTTGAGAATGATTTAAAAAATATTGCTTAGGTACCTAGGCACCATCACGAAGAATCAATGTGCGCCATTTGAAGAACAACTACGCCTTCAAACGCGAGAATTCCGCAAACTAACAAGTCTGAGTTATCCCGAAGGCAGACCGCGCGCTTTCTAGAGGATCGGTTTGGTATCGCATCATCGCGCGCGTAGCGCACTTCATTCAAATCAAGCGGCGCGTTCGTCGCAAGAGCTCCTGCATTTCGCTCGGTCTACTGCGCGCAGTGGAAAGATCCTCTCTCCACAAAAACCCTTGCCTTTGATATTAACCAGATTTTAAATAAAGCTGAAATTTGATGAATAGAATGATCTCTAGGTCTGAATCAAACGCTCAAAGCAATAAATATTCCAAATAAAGCACTTCAATACTACATTCTTCGAGCAAATGGTTGTTCTTGTGAGATTATAGATTTCTTTTTAAATTCAGAGCAGTATTATTATTTTGCATTGTACTGAATTCTATCTTTGTGACTTTCCCTTCAGAAGAATTATTTGATTCGACAATTATTCATATTCTCAGTTTTTTTACAAGATATGATGTGGATTGTCATTGTTTTCCTCTCCACAGTTGCATGGGTTCAACTAGACTCAAACTAGCAACCTTGACCAAAGATCAGAGCCCCAATCAATTGCGCTTCGAGGGAGGATAGATATTCAATGCACGAAGGTATTGTATAGATCATCATTGTATAGATCTCATCAATAAATGACTTTAATAAAACTTTTTTACAAATTGGTTTACGCTAATTCTGTAAATAATTCGAATAAATTTCACTATTAAGCAATTAGTTTTCCTTCCCTGGCCACACTATCTGTTAGTACAAGAGAAATTAGTCAACTCTTTTTGAAAGCGGCAAAATATTCTTGCAAAGTGTACTTGCACCGGCGCGACTAAGCAGTTCACGACGGCACTGTCTATGTTCTGGTTTGGACATGGATGAATAGTAGATGTTGGAATATGCAGAATCGCAGGAGCAGAATATGCAGCATTAAACGTGCTTAATACTTGACGGTGCGACGGGTTGTCTAGCGCTCTTGTTAAGCTAGTCATCATAAATGTGAATCATCACCAACAACTCTCTCTCGTGTCCAATTGAATTCTAGCCATTCTTTAAATGCTCCCGATACTAATATAAACGATGTTTAAAAATTTCAGTGAAATCGGACGACTGGTTTTTGGTCTATATGCGACAGACATACGCATTCCATTTCATTTATGTATGATAGAAGTCATATTTTATTAATAACTAAAGACAACATAATACAAGGAGAAAGAAATAACTTTAATGATACCATTAATAAGAACATCTTATTTGATCTTGAACTGTTTCCAGAGTTGCCACATGGTTTGGATAGATCAATGTTTCTTCATAAGTTGTTGGGTATCAATTCCGAAAAAAAATTTAAAAGGAGGGAAATTAGGATTCGATCTATTTACGGAAACAAAATGTTTATTACGTAGGACTATGTAATATTATAATGTTTTATTACATAGGACTGTTCCATTTAGAAATTTTCAACCCCCCCCCCGTGTGCACGACTATGGAAGTGATCAGTACTTCATTCCAATCCTCTCAATGGGACAAATTTATTAGCACAATTCTTATCCAATGAATTCCAGAGATAGAATTTTCTGTAAGAATTCTAGAAAAACGCCTAAGACAACATTGATGAAACGCTGGGAATTACTATAATCTCACTCCGTCATTACATGAATTGTCACTTTTTATTCATCTGACTGATGATAATTAAATCTAATTTTGAAAGTAATTATCGAAAAAATGTGGAGGATACGTTAAGCATCTAAAATGCATGATGATATAAAGCCACCTTCGAAGGTGATTACATTCGATTGTTCTTGACAAGATTAATCGATTGACTTGATTTTTAGCCGAATCGTTATTGAATATTCTGGAAGGATTCTAGAAAGAAACGTGTTTTTTAAGGTACCTGCAAAGCTAATACGCTATGGATTACTTTCCTGCTTTTCCGGCTCCACATGAAATCTTAGGATGTGATTCATTATATTAACGATAGTTTTTCCGTATAGTGGAGATAGTTAAGCTTACTAATGAAATGAAACACGAATTTTTAAACAATTACTTTTATCACTACTTTCTTATGTAACTGTGTTTCTGAGGATATGGGGCCCGGTGGTCCGTTGGGTAGCGTGCTCACTTTCCACGGCGCTACTCCGGGTTTGATTCGGTCGTGCCGAAAATTAACTAAATGTACTAACCCAGTATCTGTTGCTAAGAAAGCTCACTTCTGAGGTTAAGAAGACCAGAATACGGCATAGGGATGGCTATGTGCTAACCACACGTAGTCCTCAACCCGTGGCCGCAAGGCCGGGATGCCGCTGGTAGGCCTTAGCTCGTAAAGAATTGTGTCCAAGTACATACGAGTACATACATACATTTCTGAGAGTAGACGAGCCAGGCAACTTTACTGTTAAACAATTTATTTTTAATATGATATTGCAGAGCTCACAAAAATTGTTTACATGAAAGTACCTGTCGGGCTTAGCTAGTCTCATAATATTAAGGTGTTCTATATTTACTAGCTGAACTTGTGCGAAAATTTCGCACATTGATGCACGTTAAAGGATACAGGAATTCTGTAATTTTTAGACCTACATTCCATTCTTGAACTAAAATTTAAATTTTTTCAAGAAATATTTTGAGCGAATAAATCAGCTTTTTAAAAATAATAACTCATTTTGTATTATTGTAGCACATTATTTTGAATTAACATCAGTGCCCACCAAGTGAGGGATCATTGGATTTCTTCTCCCTCCCGCATGGCTGAGAAATACAACTTAAACAAGTCTCGTGACTTAAATCATCAACAGAGCACAAACCTTTCGAAGTCAAATATATTGACTCCAGTACGCCTATGTTTTGTGAAAAGTTATACTAAGTGAAAACATTACTATTTTGGAAGTTCAGATCATGGAATTTGGTCGGAGTAATTAAAATATTAAACCATTAAAGTTTTCCTACGTTTCTAAATATTTTATTCCATCATTGGGACTAACTTTTCAAAAGATGTAGGAGTAAAATACTTCATAATATCTTAACAGAAACATAGTACATCTTCCAGAGAGACACAAAGAGAAAGAGTGGTTACAAGTCGAGAGTCCATCAAGTCAGTCCAAGTCTGTAAGATCCATAACAGACCAATGTTTCATATCAAATTCATTTGACATTTGAGATGATGATGTGAATAGCAAATTACATTTTTTCACAGAGACGGTACTTGTCCGTCGACGAACCTGTCTCCCCCCCTTCCCCCAACACGCGTTGAGTAATTGAAGAGGTGCGCATTAATTTACAGAGCAAACCCCAATGCTTCAAAAAATGGATGTCGAGATTGTAAAGGGAATACAGAAGTTGGGGACCCTGACAGTGCAAAAGTGTTGTTTTATCAAAACGTCTGTACATTTATCTTTGAACAGCACATCCAACTAAAGCAAACCAAATTTTCCCCCAAATTAATTTATCATGACCGATCTAAAGAGACTCGAAACTTTGCGAATTGAAAACATATCAATGTTTGAGGTGGTTTGAAGTAGAGTTACGCTACGTTACTCTGGGATAGGGGGTATTAGTTTAGTGTTACGTAACATTTAATTTTAATGTTATTTCATGTTTCAAGATTTACTGAAATTACTCAATTTTTTAAATCGTACATACACAATCTTACATTGCTAACATTAAAATATTAGCTAATTAATTTGTTTTAAATTAACTAAATATTTTAGTTGTAAATTGTTGCAATAAATAAAATTATTTTTCATCAAATTTTTATTGAATCTGTAAGTTTCAATAAAGTATTCAAAACCGATATGTAGTTTATTCTAAAATACATTTAAATTGGCGCAATAGACTCTCGCCCAGGCGTCATCCACGACGGCGACGTGTTCATGGCTTGTGTCCTTCCGTCACTCACAACTTGCCTCCAATCATATTGTTGCAAGGCGGCTGGTACCCCAACCGACTGGAGGTTGCACCTCCGTCAAATAATAGAAATGAAAATTCCAAAATTCAAAATACGAAAATATGATAAAAATGTAAGCAATTCAAATTAATTATAACTAAGTTAAATCATTCAACTATATTATAGTCAGGTATATTATAACCCTCCCGCGCACGTGGTTCTGGCTTTGAATATTGAATGTCATTAAAAGGAAAATGTATATACCTAAGATATTGAGATATATTTTTCAATTATATCTGAGGGTGTGCAACCGTGCAAATCTATGCCTCTCTATCATTTTCAAAAAATTACCGAAAATGGGTTCACCTTTTCCTGTTAAAGTTTTTACTTAAGTGGATCAACATACGCTCATAAAATGGAGGGTATAATTTAATGCAGTTGTGTTCTCAAATGCTTCAAATGATCTCCTATGAAGTTTCTCAACATGTATAAAGTTTTCGTGTAAATTTGTTTAAGTATCAAAAGTATTGAGGTTAAAAAAGTATGTGTATAAACATGAAATCGTATGCACTATTAGGGAGTAAATATATTTTACCATTCCATGATGCTTAAAAAGTGCCTAAATTTATAATAAATACTTGAAAATTTAATAATTAAGAATTGCTTATGACTCGTACTGTACAAAGTAAATAAAAGTTCAAGTTTTTGATTATATACATTTTTTTAATCTTTCAAAGAGTCGGTACCACTTTCTTGTAGAATTACATAAGTACAACAAATTCAATCCTATCATTTTGGCTTCATATTACCGCCTTTGTGATCACGTGATACATTTCTAAGAGAATGTAGCTGTACGATTGTAATATTCTTTGGCTGACGCTGATCTCCCGTTGTTTTCGAGACGTTCTTCACCGCTCCGACCGCCCCGCCGCGTTCTCCACCACAGCGAAGGGAGCGAAGGAGAGTTTTTAGCAACAATGCCGCTGCCTATGCAGGCTGTTATATATCAGGTATTGCGATAATGAATAATTTGGCCAAGTAAGATGATTTTCGTAATTTGAGTAAATCCAAGATGGCATAAGTGAGGTTAAATTTGCGGATCCCGTCGATTGTAAACTTGAGAATAGTGTGTTTTGAAAACAGGATTTCATTAAATAGTTATTCGATTTCAGTTTTTGCTTGTTTCTTAGAATAAAACAGTATGAACCTTGTGAAAGAGAACTTTAAAAACAGTGTAGTAATTGATGAGGAACACTACTTTGCTGGAAAGCTTTGACATGTGAAGTTAATATTTTTATTATTGTATGTCTTTAGAGTGCTGTGGAACCAATGCAAGTAGATGCTCCACCTGAAGACAATGATAATAATGAGGAAGAACCATATATTGTGGAGAACCCAAGTTTGGTATGTATTAATATTACAACAAGATATGTAATATGAGATGACAGTACATTTGCCATGGTTCTTTGCTCACTGTATTGTAAGTTTGTAATTATTATTAGTTGTGCTTTGTTTTTGACATGTTCACAGTTCTTTACAATTTTTATTACAAGCTTTAGAATGATACGGAAATGGTTTTTATCTTCTTAGTAGTTCACCTCTTGTTATGTTTAGATTTTGCATGTGTATATTGTATAGAACATGTTATATTATTTCCTGGTGATTGAGCCAATTGTTTTTTCTATAATGTGATGGTTGGTAAAGTAATAGAAATATTTTTTTGCATTTTTCTTAGGATTTGGAGGCTTATGGAAACAGTTATACAGGATTAGCTCGACTGTACAGGCTCATGTATATAGCAGATCATTGCACTTCGTTACGACTAGAATCATTGAAAATGGCTATCCAGTATGTTATGTCGACATACAATGTTGCTTTATATCAACAATTACACAAGAAATTGCAAGAAACAGCAAGGTAATAAAGTTACATATTTTGATAGTTTTGCTTGTAGATGATTAGTCATTATCATTTCTTTAGAAGCATAGTATTGTTGTACATTTCTTAGTTGAAGTATTGCTCTGTGCAGTGCTGCCAGTTTGCCAGATGTTGCTGGTGGTGGTGCCCAGTCTACATCACAGGATGTGCCAGCTCTAGATCTACTCTGGGTGGAAACCAGATCGAAAAAAGCTGCTCTAAAAGTAAGTGACTTTAATTCTCAGTGATTTGGGTGATAATGGGTTTTCTTTCTTTTTTTTATTAAAAAAATCCTATGAAATAAACTCTGTGCTGAAATGGAATTTTTATATTATTATAAATTTGTATTGTGTTTGTTTCATAAACAGGGAACCTTTTTGAACTTCATTGTTCTTTGGCAGAACTTGCATTACATTTAATTTGAATTATCTGATCTTTGTGATTTCTAAGGAGTTATATTGTATCTTTATACGTGGATAGCTGGCTCTTTGTTGTGCAATTTTTTTCTTCTTTTCTTGAGGTATGGTTCAGTGCCAATGTGTTAAATGGATGGGGTCATGGTGGAATAAGGAAGCATGTACACAAGTACATTTTTGGCTTTCTTCTATCCAGATTTATTTTTGTTTTATTGTGATTCTTATTTTTTCAGTGAAAAAATTTAAGAGATTAATTTTTGAAATGAATATCTTTTTCCAAAATAATTATTTACCTGAAATTATTATTGACCCTGACATCACATACATGATAGATGAAAATTAATCTGAAAATTATCAGGCTGTCGAAAATAATGGAAATAGTTATGGGACATGTAAAAGAAATGAAAAGTTCAACCGAAACAAATGAGGAACAAAGTGAGATATCATATATATAAATGCACATTTTCTTTCATTTTGGAGTTTATATCCCACTCCTTTAACTGCATTAGTTGAATTGTGATGGCAGCAAGTGGTGACAATTTATGTGAAGAAATACATATAATTGATATGTGTAAGGCATTTATGCAACCCATTTAAAAGAAGCAATTTGCATAAAAAACTGAGGTACAGATTTATTACAATAGTAGTGGTGTCAAGATAACAAAACTCCTCTTGCATCTATCTTTGTTGAGAAGCATTTCATTTTGCAATTTGCAAAACAATATCACATGTGGGGTATATCTGAGTTATGTAGTTAATGTAGTTTTGAAAGAAAAGGCTGGTAAATAATTAATTATTTAATACCCATACATAAGGATAGATTAATTCTTAACCAGACTAAGCATGTGCTTAGGGGTCCCCAATAACGTTTGAAGAAAATTTTATAATAGCTCATAAAGATTATAAAATATTTTAAGATTAATTTTTAAAATTGTTATGGGTTTTGTTTTTTGTATTCATATTAATTATTTCTGTTTAATTTTTGAAAATTATTAAGGAATGCCTTATGCTTAGGGCTCTTTGTGACTTTCATCTGGCTCTGATCATACATCCTCTTTGTCAAAGAAATGGAGTTGTATCTTCTTGAATTAATAAAATTAATCTGCATTGTATGTTATTATTATGGAGAGTCTGGTTAGGTTTCAATATGTTGGATATATAAGAGTAGAAAGTTTTGTTGATGGTAAGTTTAGTAATTATGGATGTAGTTAGTTTTGATAATAAAAATATGCTATTCGATAATATTTTGTGTAAAATCTTCTGAATGAATATCTGTGTTATGAAATGAAATGATTCAATTTCAGCTTGAGAAATTAGATACAGATCTGAAAAATTACAAATCTAACTCTATAAAAGAAAGCATTAGACGTGGCCATGATGACCTAGGAGATCATTACCTTGACTGTGGAGATCTTTCAAATGCATTGAAATGCTATTCCAGAGCAAGAGATTATTGCACTAGTGGAAAACATGTGGTGAACATGTGTCTTAATGTCATTAAGGTATTAGTTGTACCTTTAATGAAATAATGCTTGTACAAATCCCTACTATATTGATATTGATTGATAGTGATATTTCAGGTCAGCGTTTATCTTCAAAACTGGTCACATGTTTTAAGTTATGTCAGTAAAGCTGAAGCTACTCCAGATTTTTCTGAGGTATGTGATTATACTGTATTTTGATTGTTAAAAGTGTCAAGTCATAAATATATTAATGAAAATTATCTATAACTTTTTTTATAAGGTTCATGGAAAGGACAGCAATCAGTCAATTTTAACTAGATTAAAGTGTGCAGCTGGGCTGGCAGAACTTGCAACAAAAAAGTACAAATCTGCTGCCAAACATTTTTTAGTCGCCAATTTTGATCATTGTGACTTCCCAGAATTGTTGTCACCTAGCAATGTGGCAATGTATGGTGGATTGTGTGCTCTTGCTACCTTTGATCGACATGAATTGCAGAAAAATGTTATATTTAGCAGGTCTGTATTTACAAAAATGCTTTATATCTTCTGCGTGTTTGAAAGATCTTTGACTCGTTATGTTTGTTCCAGTTCATTTAAATTGTTCCTTGAGCTAGAGCCTCAGTTGAGAGATATTATATTTAAGTTTTATGAATCAAAATATGCATCTTGTTTAACACTACTAGATGATATCAAAGTAAGTTGAATGACGTTTTAAAATATTAATTTAATAAAAGTTGCATTATAGACAATACCTTGTGTTGATTTATGATATCTCTTTCTTGTACAGGATAACCTGTTGCTGGATATGTATATTGCTCCTCATGTGAATGCTCTTTACACACAAATTAGAAACAGAGCATTGATTCAATACTTCAGTCCTTATTTATCAGCTGATATGCGTAAGATGGCAGCTGCATTTAATACCACTGTGTTGGCTCTAGAAGATGAACTAATGCAGTTAATATTAGATGGTCAAATACAAGCTCGAATTGACTCTCACAACAAAGTATGTTCAAAATTGCTTTTTCTACTCAAAGAATTCGACTTTATGACATCCTTTTAGTGTGATAGAAAGAATTTTGAAAAAATTCAAGTATATTCTGTCTGTCCCATAATATTGCAGTGTATTGGAATATAGTGTTTTTATCTGCATTTAGATTTTGTATGCCAAGGAAGTAGATCAACGCAGTACTACGTTTGAAAAATCCCTATCGGTAGGAAAGGAATACCAGCGAAGAACCCGAATGCTTATTCTCCGAGCTGCCATGTTGAAGCACCAAATACATGTGAAAGTGAGTCCCGTTTCTTCTCAAATGTAGTAGATTAATAACTTTTATTAATTACGTCCTGAAACAGTTTTCTCTGATTTGCTTTTTAACATTTTGTTGTTGTGGCATGGAAAATGTGTGTAAAGGTAGGCAAAATTATGCAGACCTTTTTAATTGTAATAGTGAGTGTATTGCAGTTATTAACAGAAACATTATAAATTCAGTTAATTCCCTCTTTACAAGAAATGTGAAGTCATTACTTGTTCAATTTTAAGTGAAGGGTTAATCATGCGTAATTTATAACCTTGAGTTATCTAATTTTGCTTGTATTGAGACATTAGTTTTTCTTGTTTGATGTCTGCTTCTGATTATGTAAGATAGTAAATTTCATATCAGTTTCTGTGTGTTAAAAATATTCAAAAAGTAAATGGAGTTAAAAACTAATTTAACATTTGCAACTTAGGGTGTTTTTATATACAGTATTTAGGGCCAGATATTTTTGCACTGTTTTAACACACTCTTAGGGTATATTAAAAAATTGATAATTTCCCATGTTATGCATATGGTACCATTGGATAGATCTCAAATTAAAGGAGATGCTCCACTTGCTGTGTGTCAAAATTGTCTAAAAGTGTAATTGAAACTATAAGTGGAAAATTAATGATGTCCATAGTTGGGATAAAAAGGAAAATTGAAGCTTAACTTATCAACTTGAAAACAGTTTATTTTTAAGGCATGCAGTTGTGCTAGTTTTGTTATCCATTACTAAAAACCAAATTTTTATTCAACTTTTCAATATTCAGAAATTCAAAATTGCTCTTGCCTCTAAATATAGTTACAAGGTTCCCAAAATTCATATGTTAGTTCAGTTTACTCTACGATTGGGGGCATTGAGAGCTGTCTAAAGGGAACTCAGGACAGTTTCGAAAAGAAAAAAGTGCATCCCTTCAAAATATAATATTGTCCTCATCATTATCTTTCACTCAAGGTGGTCTAAAAAACAAAACAAAAAATGTCTTTAGAGTACCAAACCAATTTTCTGAAATTCAAAAGTTGCACAAAAAATTGTTTCAGAAAGGACTTCCATCATCATCACACTCTGCATGAGCCGCATTTCCACAACTCGTGCCCTAGTACCAATTCTCACTTGCCTTATCGGTGTGAAAACAGAGGAGATACTTTCTCTTCCAAACTGCAGTCACCTGCTTCATCATGGAGAGATCATGGAGCATCATAACTGGAAAAGTCACCATCCAAGACAACCACTTCTTCCTCTTCATTTATTTGATTTTTATTTACCATTTTCTGGCATTTTCCAATGAACGTCATGCCCTAATTTGTATTTGTTTAATTTGTTTGTTGTTTTTTGACGATTTTGAACTGAACAATATTGATGAGGTATATCTGAGCTATGTAAGGTTTATCTGAACTGAATGAAAGGAACTTGATAGGGACTGCAAGACTTATATTTTTAAAGGGCTCAGATTACCCCACGACTCATTAACCCGTTCCTACCCTATTGTGGCACTTGCATCCATGAATGCTTAATGTTATTTTATTTAATTGGTTACATGTTATTGGTGGTTGTGAATATATTTGTTGTTGGTTTCGCTGTGAAGTTTTTGGTTTAATCTTAAATGCACCCAATTGTGCTTCCTCTGTTCCAATCATTGTTTCACTGCACTTTTCTAATTGCAGAGTCCTCAGAGAGACAGTGGACAAGGAGGAGAGATGTCTGTTGCTCCTGGCAATAGCTCCTTGGCAGCAAGAAATTGAGAGCAATGTGCAGGACATTTGCATTTGGAAAGAAAGATATAGCAGGAGGGAATTCCTGGGATGAGTGAGGTTTATGTTTGGTCAACCTGATTTGTCCATGTGATAAAGACTGTCAGCATCTAATAGACGCCAGACACAAGAGTGGTATACAGTTGAAGCAAGTTAGTTTTTGTATAGACTTAAGAGTACTGCTGCTTCAGAAGTAAAGCTGGCATTGAGAGATGCAGAGTTACTATTGTGCGAGTTGTGTGGTTCATCCGGATTCTAGCCAAGAACAGCACTTGACTGATTGGCTTGATGAGCAACTCTTTCCCGGAAAAAAATCTTGAATTGTCAACTCTATTTGCAGTAAATTTTGTAATGCTGTCTTGTGTTCTAAATCATTCACACATTGCTCCTTATTTCTTTTGGGCCATAAGATTTGGTATTTATGTGAATGCTTTATAAAAGATATTAAAATACTTCATAATTTTAAAGTGTTTGTGCTTTTCTTAATACGTGTTAAGTTTTGCGACTTTTTAAATAAAGTAAATATCATGCGATCTGTAAATTTTTTCTAGAAAATTGCCAACATATATACCAGCATGGAAAAATATGAAATTTGTTTTTTATCATGCTGATATTTTTTGTATGTAAAAAGGTTGTGTTAACCCAGTGTTTAAATTGTTGTGAGCAAATAAAATCATTGCTAATTCAAAAAACAATAGCAATGTTTGTCAAATTTAGAGTTTTGAAATTGGTTTTGTGTTTTACCTGAATTTTCTCTTTTCTTCTTCTGTAATTACTTTACTACTCAATTAATTCTTTATCATTTTCATCTTGCTACATGTAATTGTAGTTTTGAAAGTTGTGTTCAAGAATCACTTTTTTCAAAACATGAAGTTTTGTGTGTACATTACTTCAGTAATGTATCAAGCATTGATTAAGAATCTTAAAAATATAGATCCAACTTCTTAAAAATGTTTGTTATTGAGTAAGACTGAAGGACAGTTAAACGAATGTTCATAAGTTTTGCATTACTTTGTAAGAATTGTATTGCAAAAGTACTAACATTAATGTTCATAGTCAAGAGTAAGAAGCTTTATTTTATTCTGAGGCTATAATGTGAATACTTATTAATGTAACTCCACAGGAATGTGAATGCATTTGTTTCCAATTAGAGTATTTCTAATTTTATATCTATTGAGTTTAATATGTTCCACTGGAGGTTATCTTAAAATTAAAGTGGTGTTTCTTCTCTGTAATCCCTCGCTCTGTTTGGTTTTATCTTTCTTCACATACCTAATCAAGAGTAAATTTTTATTTATTCAAAGCAATTACTTCATTTTTGTGGTGTGAATTGTTTTGACGATCGAAGTATTAGAGCTTGGCAATGTGTGAGATTATTTTCAGTACTGTTAAAAATTATTTTGTTTAAATGATATTATAAAAACAACACTGTACTTGACAGTGTGCATTTAAATGTGTATCATCATACACCTAACATTTGGATGTTTTATTCACTTTTGCCAGTATTCTCACAGGAAATTGACATACTCCCAGCAGCCACCCTTTCATGCTCAGCGAGTTAAAATTGAAGTCTGTAAAATTCATGATTTGTATAAATTAATTTGTGTCTCCAATTGGAGTATGATTGTGAATTGTGAAAAGAATATATTGTGCAAAAATAAATAAATTTCGTTCTAAATCGTTCAATGAAGTGGGTTTATTCATTTTTCTTTTATAACTTACATTTACATTAAACAAAGTATAAAAAGTGTTTTGAAAATTCCTATCTTTTGTTAACTTGGGCAATGGGGGAAAAAATTCAAATTCTATATAATAGAGAAGTTTATAATTGTCTATAATTTTGAATTCTGTGTTAGGGTATTTGATATTTCTTTTCAGATTCGAATTTTGTGCACGAGAGAAAAATTCTTTGAGAAATTGGGTCCTTTCAATAAAATTTTGAGTAAATTTGTAATGTAATTTCTTTAAGGTTGCTCTTAGCTCTATATCTATTAAACAAAATGCATTGGTCACTTATGGATTCATATTTATTTACAGACATGATTTCAAAGTAAATTTATTAATGTTACTACAATAAAGTTGAGTAGGATAACCACTTCACAAACTATTTGTTTATGGAAGTTATACTGTCTTTTCCATGGTCATTTCATTAGGATGGTTGTTCCAACACTAGTGTTATGTTGCAATTAAAACTAGTGGTGCTTCTCGTAATAGTTTTCTAATTTCTTTGATCTGAATTAGAATTTTGGTTTTACCCACCCTCTTCTCAGCCAATCAAATCAAAATTTTTCAATTTTTTGATCTCCTTATGGTAGACATGAATCACGACTTTAAGAATATCATAGAAAAGTAAATACCAATATGGAAATTTTTGTTGAAAAATTTGGAGCTGTGTTTGCAGAAAAGTTTAAGCATTTCAGAAAACGGGCATTTTCACCCAAAACTTTGGCAGAAGCTTTTCAAGAAGTTATTTGAAGCTTTTCTCACTAATGCAATTATGTATACAAATTGTTGCTTATGTAAATATTAGCAGTGTAAATGACATTTCAAATGAATAATGTTCACATAATTTTTGAAAAACAAAAGGGTAAACGTGTAGCATTTTTATGTTATTCAACCCATTGAGCACTATCCCTTTCAAAAATTTTGGAGTTTTTGTCAAATTCTTTTTTTTTTTTTTTTGTATTTCACCCAATATTGCGCGAAAACTAAAATTTTCAAAAAAGATGCATAATGTTAATGACAAAATTAATTAAGGAAGACAAATTTCTTTTGAATAAAAAATCTTTTATCTTCAATTTTGTAGTTGTTGGAAGACTGAAAACATTTCAAACTTCCGCAATTTTTCCTTTTCTTTTGTCCCCTCCACAGTAACCCTGTGAAGAAGGGGAATTTATTATCTTTAAATGTTTATAAAGTTTTGCTGCTGCCTTGCGGCTTAAGCAGCTAGAGGCAGGGCTTTTTCTTACAACTAATTTACATTCTATACGTAAAGTTAACTTCCGCAATTTTCGAAATTTCTGTTAATAGTGAAAATAAGACATACGCCGTCTTTAAAAGTGCATTTTGCTCTCTTTGTACAAACAAATTTAAAGAAAAAATTGGAGCCATTTTTGAAAATATCCTGGGGATTTCAGGTAAAGTACCCCTCAAAATTAAAGAATGTTACCCCATGCCCCAAATCGCAGAATTCGTTCTCGATCGCAAATATTCTGTTTCGGAACAAATGAACTCCAAAGAAAAGGTTGCCAACATATTCGTATTTTATGAGGTAAAGAGATGTAAAATCGAATTTTCTATTTTACATTGCTTCGTTTGGTAATCTGTGTTTTAAAATGTAGCAAATCAAATTTTGTATGGTTATAGTAAAATATCTATGTTGATTTGAGTTACTCGAATTAAATTTTGAACTTGGTAAGATGGCTACAGTGTATCAGGTGTTTCTCTTAACTTCTGGCGGGAATGGGAATGCCAGCATGAGAAAAGCTGTGAAAGTGAGATGGGTTTTACTTAACATTGAAGGTATTCTGAGTTTTCCTTAATAATCGTGTAAAAATGTATGTATCAAGTTAGAAGAGAATCTCGCGTTTCTTTTGTGATCTGTGCAGGTGAAGTTTCGAATTTTGTAGCAGTAAGCTCAAACTTAGGTGCAAATGCCGATTGTAATTAAGATGTGAGTATTGAAGTATCTGTAAATAACTGTCATTCAATATATTTATAATAATTATCTTTTGTTTCGAATTCAAAGCTTTTAATGTAATTTATGTTTTCACTTGCGGTAATTACAACGCATTAAATGCTCGAGTTTGAACATGATATCTCGCTATCTGGTTTTTGTCCAGTTTCTCTGATCCATTAAGTAAATGCTGAGATTGCCCCTTGTTTTGCTTTTGGATATAATTTAGCTTCACTATACGTACGTTTTGCTGAGCTCTCCTTGTCCAATTAATGGTAGGAATACAGCCGGAGCCAATTTCTTGGCATTACCATGGTGGAAATAACATGTTATTTCATCTATGGGCAATACAAAAAATCAAATTGCAGTTTACTGATACAAATAAGTTTTCTAAAAATCATGTGTGAAAATGTCTAGTTTTCAAATGTAATTGTTCAATCCTATATTTAAAATATAGGAAGGAGAATCTGAAGCTCAAGAAAACATGCACAGATGATATTTCTCCCCCATATGTTACTGTTTCTGCTGCCCTTTTACTCAATAAATTAAATCAAATGAAACTCATGGTGAACGGGTGAATGATACTTTACAATGAATTCTAGATGTTTTTGTAAAAAACTTCGTTACCTTATTTTCAAGCTGTGAAGAAGGAAGGCCAGCGGAATGGGCCATAATAGAACTGCAAGGTGATTTGGAAAGCAGAGGGGAAGGGACTTTCTGTTCACAGTTCATTGGTGACCTACATTTCACTAAAAATGTGAGTTAATCCAAGGTATTGTAGTTAACTTTTGTGCATCCTCTGTTTTTTAAAAGAATCAGTGTAAATATAAAATTTATTTTATTGTGATCTTTTGTAAATCTTGTTATCTGCATTTATTAATTTTGAGAATTAGTAATTTCAAAACTATTAAATAACATTATGTAACTAAAAAATATAAACACAGAAAGTAAAATAGCCTTGAAGAGTGTGATTTTTCTTGAAACGTGTGTACTTAGTCTGGCATCTCAAGAGAAGTGTAAGAAAATTGTTTAATTGAAAGGCTAGATATTATAAGAGGCAAAAATGAATATCGATTCATTAGAAAATTTTCTTCATCAACAGAGATTCATTAGAATCAATGTTCAAAAATGCTTCTATTAAAAAATAAAACCACCACCACTTTCACTGTCATTTATTGTTTATATATTTTATTTCAATTAACACACTATTTTTTTGAAAAGGTAAATTTTCTTCCTTTCCAATGAAATTCACATAATTCAAAAGAACATTTTCATTTTAGCCTATATTAGTAATGTAATCATCCATTATTTTAATTGTTTTTAAAACTCTGAGATTATAGACATGGAAAAATAAAGGAAAAATGACTGCTGCTAGAAAACAGAAACTGCCAGTCAAGCCTTTTAGGCCTTCAGTCAGGCAGAATGACTGAAATATGGTCCCTGTAAACTGCACCAAATACTCAAACATGTTTTCAAGGTGAATGAATGGAGAAGATCCTCCTCAGGAGTGGTGAATGGCCTACCTGACATTGAGAAAGGATCTTGAGACAATGAAACAAACTACCAAAGAATAGTAGTTATTGGTTCTATATGTAGACTATAGCAAAATAATACGGAATAAAATAGAAGAGATAAAAGGAAAAATCAATAGGAACTATGTGGTTTTACTGCCGGTAGATCGGTTATAGACAATATATTTACATATTAAAACAATTAATAGAAAAGAGAACAAGGAGACATAGGGAAGTTCTGCGTTTCATTGATCTTCAGAAGGCATACAACAATGTGCCGGTTGATAGTGAAAACTAAATTGGAACCACACAGTATCTATATAAGAACAACACATCTCAGATTAAGATCTACAGCAGACTCTCAGATCTATTCCCAGTAAAGGTCTTCATCAGGGTTGCTGTCTTGCCCCAACACTAAAATATAGGTGCATCAAATTTTATAGCAATGGGAGAAACAATGCAGAATAATGGGAATGACAATCCGAGAGGATAAATTATATACTTTATAATTTGCTGATGACTAGGTAGTAATTAGAGAAGATGCAGGCGATTTGAGTTTCATGATCTGTAAACTCAAGGAACACTTTTTATTAGCAGGAACAGAAAATCTTCTGGAAAATGGAGGAAAAATGAAAGGAGTAAACAAATATAAATATTTGGGTGTACTTTTTAACAATAAGGGAAATAGCCAAGAAGAAATTGAGAGACTTATAAGCTTGGGGAGAAACGTGACATGAAGTATAAACTCGGTTGTAAGGAATAAAATCAAAGATGTCTTTACTCCACACTAGTTAAGAGTGTTACAATATACGGTACAGAAGTTTGGGAGGTTGATAAAAGAAGAAGTAGGAATCTGCTGGCCCTTAAAAAGGACTTCTGGCGCAGTAGTTGCTGTTATAGCAGATGTGACAGAATCAGGAACAATGACATTATTTTTTAAACAGTAAATATACTACTGTGCTAAACATTTCATTGCAGAATCCTAGGGCTCCTGGCAACTACCTATTTTCCTTATATCTAGATACCAGATTATATACAAGCATTTTTTGGAAAAATATGTGCATAAGTATGCATTTTTTTTCTTCTAAAATATGTATGGCAAATGGAGATTTATGCCAAATTGTGTAAATATGCAAGAAATGAAGCTTCAGGAAATGTGGATTAAAAATTAGCATTAATACTTTTTCTATGTAGTACATTTATTGTTAAATACTACTTTGAACACTAGATTACACGTGAATGTCTTCACCAGACAGTAGTATTTGTGAAACGTTTTACAACATATTCTTCATAATTGTCAACCAAAAAATTACTTCTCTTATCTGTATACATATATTTGTAAATGGAAAATTTTCTTTCGATCTACTGATGTTATTGAGCAACTTTTAAATTTTGCCATTAAAGCTGGTGTCATATTTGGACCATTAACAATATCTCTTGGTAGAATGTTGTTCTTGTTGCAAGAATCAAATAGATGGAATTGCTGATCTTGTCATTTCTCGAAGACCTTGACCCCAGAATGGAACAAACGAAACCAACTTACTTCTCAGAAATCTTCCCTGCAATTTATAAGTCAGATTTCTGTAAACAGTAGGAATATGCTGTTATGTGCCAGATTGTTAAAAGTATGTAATTATCTAAAAAATATGCATGCATATACCTAATCCGGTCTCTACTTACATTTTAAGAAAGCGTAGTCTATCCACAGATTCAGTTAGAGATATAGATGATAAAGAACAACAGCAAAATATAGTTACAATCTCAAAATAACAAATACTAAATGTAGACTTATTCTAAATTTTTAAGGTACATTCTAAGAATGTATAATGTCTCAATCTTCTGAACATTTATTTTTATGCAGTAAAACTTGCTCAATGCAGAACCTTAACCTTTTTTCTGTATTAGACAAAATTCCACATTATACAATGTAATACAATATAACGTATTTTTGGCAGGACCATGATTTATGTTCACATTAGACATATTTCTGCATTGAGCAAGTTTTACTGTATATCCATTTCAGTACCTGCCAACTGCTCCAACAAGTATTGAGAAATAACTTTTTCTCAACAAATAACATATTTATTGTAATAGGATCCTTATCTTACATTTTATATATCAACTGAAAATTACTGAGACACTCCAGTGCTCATGGTAACATACTACATCCAATCCACTACTCGTGGATCTGAGAACCTTTTCAGTCCAGTGTATTTAACCTCTCGAAAAATATTGGTTGTTTATTCTGTCCTTTACCGAATGCACCATGTTGTGAAGCAGGGACCAGATGACTATGTTATAATGTTATGTATTTTATTAGTGAATTATTATCAGCCTTTATGTTAAAACATTTCGTGGATTGAGTAAAAAGGTTTAGCACGAGAAACCAGCCAATCAAGCAGTTTTTCTTTTGCAACATTTACACTTACCTCTTTTTTTTATTGCTTATTTATTACATAATCCTAAGTATAATACCTCAATCTTATTAAATGACTTACTGTGTGTGGTATTGTACATGTGCATGCCTACTGTTTCTGGTGTTATGTTAATGTGCATTGGGTGTCTTTAAGTTAATTGTTTTAGTTTCGTAAACAATTCCTTACAACAAGCTAGCTTATGTGCATCTGATATAGTTCAAACAGCTTTTTTTCTGCCGCAGGAGAATGCCATTCACATGGCTGCAATTTCCCCATAAACATTTTGATGTAGAATCATAATGTAAGTTTGAATAGATTTTGTTACTTCAGCACAAATTGTATCCATGTATTTTGGATTTACAGAACGTTCCTGTACTTATTGTTGGCCATCACATTCTCTATGGTAAAGAAGTGAAAATGGAAAAACCGTTTGCTGTTCTGGAGAAACACATTCTGGACACAGAAAGTCATAATGATGAGAAAGGTGCGGTTGATGATTTTCATGCCGAATATATTGTGAAAGCTGTCATTAAGAAAAAACTTCTGTTCAAGACTCGACCTAAACCTATCATTGCAAATGTCCCTAAAATTGTATAAATTTGTATGTATTATTATATGTTATTAAATATCAAATAAGAGATGTATGATTTTTGAAAAACCAAAGGTTTTAATGAAAATTGTGCTTATATTATGTGAGGTTGTATGTTGTGCTGTATGTGTACAAAAAGTGTAAAGATAAAAATTTGTATTTCTGGGTAAATTTGGAAACTTTTTGAGTACATTTCTTTAGCTTCTAATTTGGTATCACTTCCCAACTGTTATATTACAGTCGGCAAGTACATTTTCCCTGGAAAAAGATCATAAAAACGTTTTGGGGGGTATGTTATCTGTACCCAGGCACAAGTTAAAACCCTCCAAGTTCTAACCCTGAGCTTACTCCGGGAGGCCTGGAAAACTGGTATTTTTTCTGACATTTCTTTATACCTCTTCCTTAGGTCCTGAAGAAAAATGATTCCATTCAATTGTAAAGGATAATATTTCCTACTACAATGTTTATAGGAAACCTCTTTTTCAAAACCAAGTAGCAAGCAAGTTACATCTTTTTTAAAAAAATGCTCTTTTTTTGTTTGAAATTTGGGGGTATTGTACACGAAGCTCTCTGGACATTTTAAAGATTTTATCAAAAACAGCTCCATTTCTTTTCTTTAAATTTCTTGTAAGAATATAATAACATACACTCATAACAGTGGAATAGGTCCTATGTTCACAGTTAACTCTGAATTTTCGATAATTTCAAAAGTATGATTTTTTTTCGTTGCCTTCCTACAACTACAAAGTTGAAGATCGATTTTTCTTTCAAATAAAATTTGTTCTCCACAGTCGTGTGCATTTATGAAATTTTAATAGTTTTCGCGCAATATGTGCGAGCAATTTTGCAAACATACAAAAACAATATTTTTTCAAAAACGGCTCCAATGCGTTTCTTTACATTTTTGGTAGGGATAGTGCTAAATGTACTCTATTAGATGGCATAAACTCCATATTGCTCTATTCTAATGTTATGAAAAATTACAACAAAAAAAATTTAACTTCTCATGTTAATATTTATACTAGCGACAATTTATTCACATTACTGTATTTATGAGTACATATGCTTTAAATAATATATAAAGTTTCTCGAAAAACTCAACCGTTTTCTGAGAAAACTAGCTCCAAATTCCGCATTTTCAGAAACACTCAAACGCCATTTCTCAAAAACTGCTCCAATTTTTTTCTTCAGACATGTCGAAGAGATGTGCTTGCACTCTTTAATATGACGTTTAGTTCCTTTTTGGTACTTTTTTCTCAAAAATTACGTGTGCTTATTTACAGAAGAGTAAAGCTGTATATACAAACCTTCATTAAAACATTGTAGCCTGAAAAAATATTGTTTGAATGTTTCTGAAAATGTACAGTTTTGAGTTCATTTTCAGACAAAACTTGATTTCACTGGGGACCAAGATTTGTACCTCCGGGAGTGCACAACGTGCTCAATTTTATTCGTAGATTACGAATATGACAAAGTTATATCACATGACAGTTTTTAATAAACCGTATTTTGCTTTTAATGCAAATGCAATTAAATTTCACGTGTAAGATATGTAGAATCTACGCTTAAAATTATTTTAAAATTTCCGTCTCACCTGGTACTCTCGCTCATTTACGAGGATGGCTTAGTGGATGTCATATGCACCCTCATAGTTCCTACTGCCCACCAGTCAACGAAAGGAATTATTTTAGACCCTTATCTTATCGCAAGTATCCAGCTGTTGGGGTGGCAGATTCTGGGTCAGTCGGTGCCATGTGGAATTATATTTGCAGAACGCCTGAAGTTCGTGTCAGGTATGCGTGTGCCTCAAATTAATACATTGCAGTTCTGTGGGTTTTATGAAGTGAAATTCACCACATGATCTGTTGATTTGAATCGGTTCGATAAAATGCAAATCGTCATTTCACATTGAAAGTGTGTGAATCAACCGGATAACGTCGGCCATGTTTGTGGAAGATTTACACACAACTTATTCTTTGGCTGTCATGTTTGTGACAAACAATGGGCTGTTGACCAGTGTCGTTTGTCCCGTACAACGAACCTTAGGTTGTGGTTGTATGGAACACTCAAATCATTGACGTTCGCTCTACGAATGTTGTGAAAACACGAACAAACTATTTTAATGACTGCATATTATTAAACGAAATTGCGTATTCCATTTTTAACTTGTTTTTGCTTCATATGGAGTATACTCATAAAATTTTGAAGTAATATAACCGGAATGACTGCGAAAATTAGTAGAGGACTTTGTTTATTTCAAATAATTAATATGTTTATATCTTTTAAACCTGATAGAAACTTTTTATAATGATTTCAAAATCAGCGTGACAGTTTCTATTGAAATCACCTACTTTCATCCAAGAGGTATGAAAAAAAAAATTAGTTCTCTAGTGTTACTAGAGGAACCTTTGAAAATCATTTGATGCCCTTGTACTAAAAAATTCAATAATATTTATAAATCATCGGTAGCAAACCATATTTAGGACACGATGTATAACAAAATTGCATTTTTTTTAATATTTGAATGGGAAAAAGATAGCGAGCCGTTTATGTCAACTCACACAGTGCATTTAGAGCTGTCCGTAAAAATCTTTTAAAGAAAATACCGTTTGGCCGTTTGTGAACAGGAGCAATTTGGTGTTTATTTTCATAAAAAATGCAAGTTTTCTAGAAACTTTATTGTTTGAAGGGCATCTACTCATAAATGCAACGTATACAAATCGCCGGTAATGTAAATAGGCCTATAATATTAGCGAGATAAGAGATCAAAAAAATTGAAGCCATTTATGAGAACATTTTGAGACTTAATGTAAATTACTCCTGGAAGTTAAAATATCCGTTTCAAACTCGCAAGGTCTTGAATTTAAATCGGTTGGCAAATTTCAATTTTGGAGAAAATCGTCTGAACGATTTTTCGGTATCAAGGACCCACAAAACATGGATTCTGACTACAAAACGTGTTAAGGGAAGTAATTTTTTATGTACATACTGGAACATCATCCGTGGCTGTCCGCGGAATGAAGAGTCGGTTTTTGATGCGCGGGTCGCAGGTCGTCACACGTCGCCTGGGCCGCGTTTTGTGTTTTACAGCCGAATGGTCGGGCTGCACACCCTCACGTATAATTTTAGGCGTTGATCCTATTATCCCAGCCCGGCATCCGGAATAAATTCCGATGCTGAGTGAGGGCTGGTCGGATCGTGTGAAGAACAGCGATCGTTCGGTGGATGGCTGTTGTCGCCGTTAAATCATTTACTACCTCTAAATGCCGTCAAGTCAAGAACTAGCCTCTCTAAGAGCCAACCGATCGCTGTCGAGATTCCTTCTCCAATAATAATGTGATCTCTTAGCGCCCTCAGCTCACCCGATTCCCGTCCCCATCCCTTTCGCAAGATGTGCGAGCTCTGTCACGGGCGTAGCGCGAAGCTTTTCATTGGCTTGTTTAAAAGTTTCCAGAACATTATATCACCCGAGCTCTGTGATTGGGTTAAGGGGACCGCACATCTTTGCAACCTTCACTTCTTAATATGCAATTGATTATTTATTGTTCTCCATCTAGTGCCTACGTGACACGACGCACGTGTGCGACACCACGAAGCTTCATGGTTTATAGCCCCTTAGGGATTAGCTAGCGAGCTGCCCCGAGTCTGTTAATACGACTGTGCCGGGAGTCAATCTTTTGAATTGAATTGAATTTGCCTTATTTTTTACGTGGCGACACTCGGGCCATCAGGCCCGCTCTTCCGTCTTACCACGCAAATTTCGCTACGCTCCTTTCACCAACTAGGAGAGAAAGGAGGTATTTCTTGGGCGAGAAACAGGCGATTTGAATTTAGCTCAGAGGCGTCATTTAGGCTTGAGGATCTTTTACAAGCAAGTAAATCTACGAACATGGGACAGCCGGCTTTACTTCCCCTCCGAAGGATTTTTTCGCCCTTAAAAATCCACGGCTTCGATCGGGTTTGAACCCGCCAACTTGGGTACAACAGTCCAGTACGCTAACATGCGTTACACCATCGCCGCCGCTTCTTCTATTGCCAAACACAAAAAGCCCGTAGGGGGTGTTTTTCCGAGGGGGGCTGCGCGCAACTGCGCAGGAGGAATTGTGCCTAAAAGCGCCCTTCACTTGGAGTAATTTTCAAAGGGCGTGACGTAAGGGCTGCGCTGTGCGATGGGTCATTGCGACTCATTGCAATGCTAAAACTGAAAAATATGTAAATGTGTACTTTTTCTCCGAAAGAAAGATATTAATTTTTTCAAATGTATCTAAAAAGATACAACAATTTTAAAAATGCATTTACATCAAAAATGCAAAATAAAAACCTAGTCAAAATATTTCACTTTTTATAATTCGTGCTTGTATACTGAAACCTTTTATAAACATCCTTTATAATTGGACGTTTCCTAAACATCCATTGCATAGTAATATACCTTTTTTTTAGTAAAAAAGAAAAAATTTCCCCTTTAACCGTCTACCCCTATATAATACTATTTTTCAGGGAAGAAACAGTGGTCGCTCAATATGGGTTTCATTACATGCCATAATCTGCAAACATCTATATTTACTCTCTGGGGATAATTCCTTTACAGTGTAAGAGATTTTATGACTATTAGGGAATAAATCTGCCATCTTTACTTAGTGAGGGAATAATTGCATAGGCCCTTAAAATAAAAGAAGGTTGTCAGACCCTAAGACTTAACACTTGCTTCTCTATGTATATCATCGCGCTGAATCCAAATCCGAAGCCAGAATTGCGCCACCACCCTCCAGTTTTTCGCGATAGAGAAGAAGAAACGATGAAAGAGGAGTTTTCAGAAATTCTAATGTTTCTGCGCTCTTTATTATTTCGTACGTACGCCACCTCCCCCGCTCCGTTCCTGTTCCGGCTGCTGCTGCTGTCTCGCCCTCGCCCTCCTCCGTGCTGGTGGGGTGCGGCGCGGCGCAGCGTGAGAGGATCGGCCGTGACCTCCGACGCGAGGGAGGCCATCGTCGCGTCGCCTCGAGCGGCGCGGCGCGGGGGCGTTCACGGCCGCCTGCAAGCGCCGCGCCGCACCTTACAGAGGGCCCTGCGCCGACGAGGCTGGTGGCGGCCGTCCGGCCAAGCCCGACCCGGCCCGCACCGGTCGCTCCACAACTCGCACACACAGCGAGTCACACTACCGGGTCATGTGGCTCAGGGCGTCAATTGATGTCACTGCAGTGCCTTGGTCAGGGAGGTCCTAGGTTCTAGTCCTGACGGTGGCTGGATTCTCGACACTAGCTAGACAGGTCAAATTCGAACACGGTATGGAGGAAAAGTAGCGGCCGACTGCTTTGATCGGTAACTTGAAGTCGTTTCTCCGACCCACACCAGGCGAGTACCGGAGCAATACCATAATAAAGGGGCCACGGTCCGCGCGTGATCTTTACTTCCTCTTCCTTATCCTATCTTCGCCCCTTACATCCATACACGTACACATGCTGGGAGACCAGTCGGGAGCTTGGAGCTTGTCCCGGTCAGAGGGGGGCGCTGATGGAATGTAACTGGTTGGAAAAATCCTCGGAAGCCGAAGAGTGGGTCGGCGCCGGACCTCG